GTTTTGGGTGGAAGATAGAGGGGCGGGGGGGCAGCCTAAGGTCTCTGTTCGTTCCAGAACTAGTCCATTGCCATCAGTGTGCTGAACCAAGGTCATTTGATGGGGTTTAATTAATTGGCTTCTTCAGGAGGCGTCCCTCCTGGTTCACACCCTAAAAGTTCACTGCAACTCTGACTTCTCACAGGGATGGTCCAATTTCAGTAGAACAGGACAGGTGCTTAACCAAGGCGTTGGCTCTGTTTTCTCATCTGCGGTACAGAGGGTAGGGGTTGCGATGAGACACTGCAGCCAGGCGCTCTGACGGCAGGATAGAGGAAAAGGCCTGTCCGTAGACTCACTTCCAGGAGATTCCACATGGAAATTGTCTCTCCAAAAGTCCCGTTGCTCGGGTAAAAGAGGGCGCTTAGCATTTAGTGTGCTGGTTTTAAAGGGGTATGATGGTGGTGGGCCTGCCTTCCTGCATCACAGCGTATGCTTTAGTTCATTCGTCTCACAGGCGTGATGCCTGGAGGTTTGGTCTGCTCGCATGATTTTCATCTGAGCAATTGGATTTTCTGGAAGGAATGCGCACAGCAGCGCAGTCAGGGGGCCTGCTTGCGCCTGCGCAGTCACATCTGCTCATGCCCATCTTAAAGGGAGCTGCTTGACAGTCATTCAGTGGTCAGACTGTAATTATTTCAGCCGAGTTTGTGTCACAACAACAGATCCAGAAAGGGGATTGATATCAGGTTGATTTTTCAAGTTAAATTTCTCTTCATTATCTCAATTTTTCCACAGAACTAGATTATTTTAACCAAACTGCACTAGAACACTTTACAATTATTCTTCACATGCATAGGGTAAAAATGCTCCTCCATAGTAACTTAGACGAAGAATTTATTGCTGCATTTATTTGTGCCACCTTTATGCTTCAGTGCTGCACCTCAGATATTAATGCTGAAGCTTTTCTGATTAGGAGCAGAAATGCAAAACAAACAGAAAATGAGGATGATGGTAAAGAGTTGGAGGTGAAGACTAAAAATACATCAGTGATCACCTTCAATGTCAGTGTAAGGTTATAATTTTAACGGATATGAGTTTATATTAGTTATATATTATATTGTATTAGTTTGGAGCCACAAACGGTTCAAACTGGAGTCAGATTTGGGCAAAGTTCTAATGAAATGGAAACAACCAAACAAAAAATTGGATTTTAGAAAAAAATAATGAATATGAGCATTAAGACCTGCAGTGGGAACATATCCTAAAAGGTGCTGAACACTGGAGCTCTAGGGCCCGAACTGAAGACCCCTGAGTGTCAGATGATATTTCACTTGAACGTGGAGAAAATCAAACATCAACTTAAAATATCATGAAACAAACACAGTATTAATGTTTGTTTAAATGTGTGATGTTACAGTATCAGTGTATGTGAACTTTGAATGAGTTCTGAGGTTTGAAAATGAAATCTGTTTAAGAAAATATATTAAATGC